GCAGCAGCAGCCACCACAACAGACTCAGCGGCCGCAGCAGCAGAAGCAGCAGCAGCAGGGAGCAGTGGGCTCTGGGGGTGCTGGTTCTGGGAGTGCTGGTGTTGGAGGTGTTGGTATTGGGGGTGTTGGTTCTGGGGGTGCGATTTCTGGGGGTGCTGACTCTGGGGGTGCTGGTTCTGGGGGTGCGAGTTTGGGGGGTGCTGACTCCGGGGGTGCGAGTTTGGGGGGTGCTGATTCTGTGGGTGGTGTGTCCGAGGGTGCTAGTCTTGGGGGTATTGTTTCGAGGAGTGCTGGTGGTAGTTGTGGTGCCGTTGGAGGTCCTAGAAAGGACAGGGAGCAGTTGCAGCCGCAGCAGCAACAGCAGTCGCGGCCACCGCAGCAAGAGCAGCCGCAGTCTGCCCTTCGTCTCCTTGGTCTTGCTCTAGTTTCCCCTGTCCGCCCCCCCATTCCCCCTCCTGTGCGTGACCCTGTTTATGGCCCGTTGTTCCCTCCTCCAGACTCCTCTCCGACTCGTTTTCCCCTGCGCTCCCCTCCGTCCCCTGACTTGTCCCCTATTCCCCCTCATCCCCAGTCTCGATTTCTTCCCCAATGGGTCCGTCACCCCTCTGGTGCTTGTCCCGTCTCTCCCCATCCTATTGCCCACCCTATGGTCCTTCATTTGCGTGCTCCTCTAGTCGTAGTCCTCCCGTTGCCTCCCCCGTCATCGCTCCCGTTGTCCCCTCCTCCTCGCTCCAACGCTGCTTGCACTGCTCGTCCAGTATTGTGCCTGCTTGCGTCGCTTGTCGCTGCTGTCACTGACTTTGCTGCAAGCCACTGCCTTGACTACGCTGCCACTCTGGTCTCTTGTAGTGCTCATCCTCCGTCCGTCGGGGGTGCATCTGCCCTTGGCCATGACGTGCTAGAGGATAGGCAGTACAATTTGGCCTACCTTGCTGCCGCTGTTCCCCATCTCTGCTCCATGCTTGTATCCCCACAGGGCGACCCAGATGCTCTCGACATCCCTGTTCCGTGCTCTTACACTGAGGCAGTATCAGGACCCTGGGCAGCCCAGTGGATACAGGCCATGGAGGTTGAGATATCATCCTACAGATCCACAGGCACTTACGTCGACGCAGTTGCCCCGCCTGGGCAAGGTCAGCAGCGTGATCTGCATCAACGTATCCAGTCAGTCGAAAATTTGGTGCAGTGTTTGTCGTGTAGCTGATGCCGATTGTAGGAGTAGAAATGAAATATTGGAGGGCTCTATGAAGATCGGCCATATTCTCCCCTTCAGGTTGGCGCAGGTACTGTGCGAGCTGACTCATGTTGTAGGCAAGATCCGGGCGGCATGTAACTGCTGCAAATAGAAGACACCCGAGCTGCTGCTGGTAAAGCTGATTCTCGGAGGCAGTAAGTGGGGTAGTATCAGGTGTGTGATCAGCCGAAAGGTGACAAAATGGAGTGGTGAGGCCGATAAGAGCGATGGCAAACTTTTTCGCAAGTGTTTCTATGTACTTGCTTGCAGAAAGGTAGATGGCATCGGGGCCGCAGTCAACGTTTAACCCAAGAAATTGGGTGACGTTGGAGGAAATAGTTACTTCAAGAATCGTTTGGATTCTTTCCTCCATATGTGCCAGAAGACTGTTGCACGAGCCGGTGTCCAGTAAGTCGTCCATGTAGGCAACTAGAAGAATGTAATGCCCCAAAAATTCGAGTTTGTACATTCTAGGATCGTGGGGCAGCTGCACGAAATCGAGTGAAATCAACACTTTGTGAAGATGCTGCTGCCACATGCGAGGAGCCTATTTGATATCGTAGAGTGATTTATGTAACTTGCAGATGTGAAGTCCGTCGCCGTAAGTGTGAGGGAGTTCGACGAAAATATATGCATCGATGTCTACGTATAAAAACGCATTTTTAACGTCCAGTTGGCAAAATGGAAGGTGGCAGCTAGCATCAATGGCGAGAAGAATTCGAACTGAGGTATGTCGGCTGACTAGAGCGAAGGAACATAGGAGTTGAACAATATTCGGGCAGATAATATTCTTCGGCTGCATCTGCTTCGTCTTCAGGAGTGGCGAAACTCCGTTCGGCACTGTAGCAGCCAGGATCCCGCTGCAGGCGTTTCTTCTCGCGTTCAAAGTCATTGAGAAAAAGTTTCTCATAGAAGACGTAGTCTCGGGCATACAAACCTTTCGAGTTTTGTAATCCATAATCATCCAAGAATAGGAATCCTTGGGTACACCAAGGTGTATTCCCCAACGAGCCTGTTTAGTAAATCTGCCCACAGATGCGCTCGGAGGTCTGAATTGGACCATGCAGCCCCGAACTCGTAGAAGTCGAGTATTGGCGGGGTGTTTTGTCCACATGACGTGTGGCGAGCTGAACTGAGGAAGAGCTGTTGAAGACAAGCAGTTGTGTAGGCGCACAGCTTGTGCCATCGCAAACGGCCAAAAGTCAACTGTCAAGCTGGACTGTTGCAGTAGCATGCGGATCTTCTCTTGCAGCATTCTATTAGTTCTCTCAGCTACTCCATTCTGGTGATGCGCGTAAGGCACAGTCTTGCGCCTGCGTATTCCTTTCCACGCCAGAAATTCATCGAACTGCTCGCTGGTGTACTCGCCCGCGTTGTCTGTCTGGATCTCTTTCAGCTTGATGCCGCTTTGCCAACCGCAATTTTCAGCCATAGTTTGACGGCGTCAAGAGCTTCAGACATGTGAGAGATATTTTTGTGCTAGACGTATCGAGTAGCACAGTCGAAAAAGGTAATTTTATAGTGGTAGTCGTTGCCGCTCATATCCTCTGCTTCCTGCGGCATGAAGAGTATGTCACTGAAAACGACATCCATAGGTGAGTACATTGTAGCACTTGGAAAGTGCGATGGGAATGGAGCATGACTGAGGTGAGCTCCGGGGCAGATGGCAGGGCAGTTGACAACTGCTAGGTCGAAGCTCTTGGCCGTTGGTTAAAAGGAGAGCGTCCTTGTAAAAAACCGAGGCTTTAATTGAATTGTTAAGAGCTTCTTGCGATGGATGACCTAATCGCTTGTGCCAGTTTTATGCTGTAGTCCTGTGTCCCTTTGAACGCAGGTACAAGTCGGAGTGAAGGAAGAAAGCCGGCGAAAGATGAATCGTTGGCTCAGAGTTGACGCAGCGGCCGGTGCTGAAAGGCTGGATGAACCCGGATTATTTTGCATTTTCAACCCAAGGTATGCCGAGGTGTCGGCAACGCGCCCAAGCATCAGGTACGATTAACTCTGTCTTGCCCCGTGTACATTCAACCTCCATAGGTTCTTCGACTGTAGCAGATGTCGGTTCTTGATTGTCGTATCACCAATTTCCATCTACAGATGCCCATGTACTTTGAATTGTTTCTGCTGATGCTGATGCTGCTTCTGTTGGCTCTTCTGCAGGTTCGTCGAGGGAGTTGGTGCGAGAAGGCTGAGGCATGACGCAGAAGACATTCAGACCACGATGGTCTTGGCGTTGGAGATCCGTTTCCTAATGATGATGCCAAGGAGCAAGTGAGATATCCTTCTCACTGTCGCCAGGTGCCTTCATAGGTGAAAATTGTAAAACAGAAATACCGTCTTTAATTTATGCGATGCCGACTAAATTACTTTTGTCTTCCTTCTTGTCACCCATGTACAACTCCATGAGCATCGTGTTGGCGGTGCTGATGAAGCAGATGCCATTTTCCATTAGCTGCGCCTGTGATAATAGGTTGAAGCCGAGTCCCGTGGAGACGAGAACCTTATTAAGGTGAAGTGAAACTTCGGTGTCGTCGGACTCTAGTATCACATCTCCAATTCTGGTGGCTTTAATAACTTGGTTGTTGGCCACAGTGATATTGTATTTTTCTCCGTTTGGCAGGTCTAGCCAGTTGAGGAGATAGCGACTTGAAGACGCCATGTGGTGATCGCAGTAGCTGTCAAGAAACCAAGTGTTAACATGCTCGGGATACATACGCTTGACCATGTGGGAGTATGGCTGCACGTTCAACCGTCAAGGAAACCCGTTCGGCTGCTGTGTTTCTTCTTCATTAACGAACTGTTGGTTCTGGAGTTTCTGAACGAGGGCGAAGATGTGGAGGTAGGTTGGCTGCTACTTCTTCCATGTCAGTATCGTTGTCTTCATTGTCTCGTCGGCTCAAGTAGCATATACCACTAGGCCAGTGTGGTCTAATCATGCAATTAATGATTGCCTTGCCTTTTTCAGGATGAGTTGAAGAAGCTGAAGACAGCGAGATAGTCTTGACAGGGGCGGCTTCACCCGACTTCTCCCGATTCCTGTTCTTCAGTTTCTGACACTCTTTTATATTGTGACCTGCTCATTTGCAGAACTTGCACAAGCCCTTTCCTCCTTTTCTTGTCTGTTCCCCTTGACTTGGTCCACCTGTATAGAAGCTTAATCCACTCTTGGCATTGCCTCCTTTTGTGTTGTACAGGTCCAAGTCCTACTGCTCTGCCATCAGAGTAGCGCATTGAGAATTTTCTGAGATGTTCCCTTGGGAACGAAGAAGGGACTTGCACTGCCTCCATTCGGGGTCCAAGTCCAGCCAGAAGAACAGTGACGAAGAGCTCATTGCTGAGATTTTCTCCGCACTTGCCAAGCTGGTCCCGAAGCTTTCTGCACCTCTTGATGTAGCTACCGGTTTTTTCTCCCCGAAGCATTTGCATTGCTGTAAGTTGACTTAACAACTTGCTCTGTGAAACGGAATCTTGTGCTTGATACAACCTTTGCAGGTAATCCCAGGCGTAGAAGGCTGGAGCGAATGAAGGTTTGAAGCACCGAAATCCCAACTGCTCTTCAGGTGAGAGATTCCGCACTAGTAGTGTATAGGCCATAAGCAAATACTTAGAGTAATGCACCTGTTCTTCGGTTGTTCCTGTCTCTCGATAACGGATTGAACCGTCAAAATATACCCAGATACCAGAAGATTGCGTGAGGAGTTTGAACTCAAATCCCCAAGTATAGAAGTCGCGGCCATCAAAGTAAGTTGAGGTCTTCAGCTTGGAGATAGTTAGGAAAACCGTTTGATTTACAACTACTTCTGCAGCGAATGGTCTTTCTTCTGCCATTTGATGTTGTTGCTGCTTTGGTTGTTGTTGTTGTTGTTGTTGTTGTTGTTGTTGTTGTTGTTGTTGTTGTTGTTGTTGTTGTTGTTGTTGTTGTTGTTGTTGTTGTTGTTGTTGTTGTTGTTGTTGTTGTTGTTGTTGTTGTTGTTGTTGTTGTTGTTGTTGTTGTTGTGGTTTAACAGGTCGCCCATGGAAGGCAAAAGACCCAGCGGATTCATCTCCAGGGGCTGAAGGCCTAGCGACAACAGCAGCTCTTGCATAACTAGAGTTATCAAGGCTCATAGAAGTTGTAGGATGCGCAGGAGCTTGTTTTTGTTGCTGAGTAGACTGATTAACCATAAAGGAAGCGAAGTCAGATAGATCATAAATAGAAAGACCAGAACTACGAGGATTCGTAGTTGAATATCCTGTCTTAGCAGCTGACATAATTATAGATCTATGACTTAAGCTCAAGGGCGTTATCGAAATCAGCTTGTATAGGTTCCTGTGACTCCACTAGCTCTGAATACCATGTAGAAGTGAACCACGTGTTTAGGGTGGCCAGGATCTAGAGTTGGTGGAACCACGAGTAAAAGTCAGCGGAAGACTTTACACCTTGTATTGGAAATGTCTGAAATGACAAGGATAATAATAATGAGTAATACAGGCATATTTAAAGTCTAGGAAGTACCTATTCGGAATGTACCGGTTCGTAGTGTATCGCGACTATTCGCGTGATATGACTAGTCACTGTTCGTGTGACTGAGAGTGGCGTGACCCTTCGGGTGACTATACACGCGAACCTATTGTTTACGCGTTGACTTGCTACTGCTGACGTCATCACGCGCGTCTTTCCATATGAGGTATCGTGCTACTAGTACGGTCTAAGTGTAATATGAGGAATGCAAAAGTAAACTCTGTCGAGTATACTTTAACATTACCTTCACCAAAGGCCACACTAGTAGTGCTGCCCTAGTTTGGTAAACTCTGCCACAACCTAGGTTAGGGGGTGTGTCAACAAACATTTTGTTCTGTCTACACATATCTAGTTAGTTTGGATATGTTTGTTATAGCTTAGCTAGGTCAGTTCTTAGAGGGGACAATATTTTGTATTTGTATCTCCCCTCCCCTCCTCCTAGTCACACTTTTTCCTACTACTCTAACAATAGTTGCCATGATAAGCAACAGCATTGATTCTAATATGGACACGTCAGCTTACAACAAACTAATCGTATGTGGTATGACTTCCTACCTTAGTGGCAAGTGTTTGAATGTTCTAAGAGACGAATGTATCCTTAGAACCTCCTCCTAGAGTCTAGGATCCTTGGGAACCAAGCTGGACATGTTCTATTCTTAGGAGGCACCATCGAATCAAGGAAGTTAGCTTCAACCAAGTCACCACCAGCCCTAAAGGATCTAGGAGTTTACCCTCTATGAGCATTCTCAACCCATCCAACCAAAGTACGCTACACTACCCACTCTATAATCTAACTCCTATACGTGTTAATTGGAGCAACCTAAATTCTCCCATAATTCCAACACCCTCCCTTGCTCCAATAAGCATCAGATCCAATATCCATTCAAAATATATCTCCTCTTGCAAGAGATGCCTTGGCCACTTCAGTCTTCACCCTCAAGTCGATGCGCTTAAGGTCTGCATTTAGCTTTAAGCCTGGAAGAGCTTTGGTAAGCATGTCGGCATCTTGGAGATGAGAGCGCACCGACTGCACCACAACCTCCTGCTGGCGCACCGCATCGCGAACAAAATGCCAAGCCACATTGATATGCTTTGTGCGCTAATGGAGTACGGAATTATGAGCAAGGGAAACAGCTGACTCATTATCACACAGCAATGGAATCTCCCCCCCATCACCCACACGCATCTCAGCCAGCAAGTTCCTCAACCATATGGCCTCCTTGGCCCCCTCGGATAGCACCTTGTACTCAGCCTTAGTACTGGTGCAAGCGACATTGTCTTGCTTCTTGCTGTACCAAATGATAGCCCCCCCACCCAGCTTGAAGAGATATGCCGCACAAATCTTTCTGTCTGCCTCAGCCGCCCAATCAGAGTTAGTGTACCCAATGACTTGCTCACCACCCTGTCGCTCATACCGGATCACCTGGGTGGCTGTGTCGACCAAATACCTTAGTGCTCTCAAAGCAGCACACAAGTGAATGCACCTGGGTGCAATACGTGAATGCGCCAGTGTGTTGACAATGAAAGAGAGGTCAGGACGATTGGTCACAGCAGCAAACATAAAACTACCGATGAGACTCTGGTATACCTTGACGTCGGCAGGCAAACCTTTGTCGGCAGACCATGTACCGTTCCTTATCTTAATGAGATCATTTGGTGACATAGGAGTATGCACCCTATGAGTCTTCTCCAACTGATCACCAAACCTGACCTGAAGTCCACGGACATACTTCTCCTGCCCAATGTCTAGCCATCCACCCTCACGCGACCTGCGTACTTCCACCTGAAGGTAGATAGACACCTCACCGAGATCCTTCATTTGGTACACGTCGGCAAGGGTTTTCTTGGCCTGCTCGATCAAGTCCAGGCGTAGGGAGACAAGTAAAAGGTCATCTACATACACCAGCACATACACAGAGTCCTCATCCACGAATCGGATGTACAGAGCCTTGTCACATGCACTGGGACTAAACCTTGCAGCTACCAGCGTGGCCCCAATCTCCTCGTTCCAAGCACGAGGTGCTTACTTAAGTCCATAAAGGGCCTTTTGCAAGTGGTACACCCCCCCCTGTACCATCATCAAAGCCCTCAGGCTGCCTCACATACACCTCGTCTCGCAGGGGTCCATTTAAGTAGGCATGGTTGACATCCTCCTGATGTATATGCCAACCTCGTACCGCTGCTTCTGCAAGAAGCACCCGACCTGAGGCCAGTTTGCCGACAGGGGCAAACACCTGATCATAATCCTTGTTAGGCTCGTGGGTATAACCTTTAGCAACAAGGCGAACCTTGTGCTCTAACACCTTGTCCTCCTGATCCGTCTTTCGGCGGAAAACATACTAGGTACTGTATCAATGGCCTTTTTACCTGGAGGCAAGTCAACTGGCTCAGGATCCCACACCCCCATCGTGCTCATGGCACCTACCTCCTTGTTAGCCCCAGCATCCCAAGATGGACCCTCAGGGCCACGCTTTGCCTCAGCTAGTGTGCGCGGCAGATCACCAGTGCTCACACCTGCTAGCGCTACACCCTCCACCTTCTTGGCCAAGCAAAGCATGCCCACACCTGCACCAGCATCCCCCCCTACCTCCTCACCACCCAAACTGACTGGATACCAAGGACCTGCAAACCTATCACAGGTGGTGGGGAGGGAGTTTTTGGTGCTCCAAACTCACTAGCAGAGGGAAGAGGTGGGCTCAGGCCAGAAGAGGGGGAGGTGGAGGTAGGTGTCGCGGCACTGCGTCGAGGAACGGAATCGCCAGGCTGTGCCAATATACTCGCCGGTGCCGACACACTCGGCGGTGCCGACACTCGCGGGTGGGCCGACAATGGAGGCATGTCGGCAGAATATTCCTCTGCTCCAGGGCGCTCTAGGGGGAGTGGAAGGAGCTGAGAGATGGTAGCAGCATCTTGCCTCATTTCCCCAAAGGCTTTGGCTGTCTCCCAATCCTTCCACATTACATTCTCGAGGAAGTCGACATCTCGAACAATGCGGCTGCGCATGAGAGAAGGGTCCAGCATCCTCTATCTTTACTCTCCATGTCCACCCCGAGACAGACACACATAGTAGTCCTTGCATCCAGCTTCCCAACTCAAACCTGTCCATGCAACATGACACTCCCCATGCAGCCCCAAACCCGAGCCATGCCAACATGCGGCTTAGTGCCTGACCAGGCCTCTATAGGAGTGATGAGGGCTGGCAATGCACTGTGGGGTACCCGATTCTTGACCCACACCACCCACATCAGGGCCTCACCCCACAGGCGCGCCGGAAGTCCACTGTCGACGAGCAAGGTGCGAATCCCCTCTGCCATTGTCTTGTGCCACCGCTCTACCACCCCATTTTGCTGCGGCGAGTCTGCTACAGCTAGATGAGTTTGAATGCCAAACTCACTCTTCCATGCCGTCACAGCTTCCCCTAGAAATTCACCACCCCTGTCTGAGCGAATCGCTTTCAGCTTTCGCCCTGACTCCCTCTCCACATCCTTGTGCCATGTGCGAAGGACCATTGCCACCGTGGCGGATTCCTTGTTAGGTAATGGAAACCCCCAGATCCGCCTGGTGAAGTCGTAAATGAGGCTGACCATGTACACCGCTCCTCCCAAGGACGGAGTGCGCACAGGCCCCCACAAGTCCATGTGAACCTCATCAAGTGGTGCAAGGGCTCGTGTTGCCTCATGAGGAAACGACTTCCTTGCCGACTTCCCAAATAGGCATGACTCACAAGGAGGGTAATCCGCAGCTGCTCCCCCGATATCCAACCCAATCACACTGCTGCCCCTAGCCATCTACTGTAGTGTGGTCGGCGCGGTATGACCAAGTCGGCGATGAGCAAGTGTGAGAGGAGAGAGGGAGGTGGATGGGCGAGCTCCGAGAGCCTTGCCTTGAATACCTCGAGCTAGTGGAAGCGACATCCGCATGAGCCCATGATCCCTTCCACCCTCCTTCTCTCTTGTCGCCAACACTTGCTCCCCCCTTTTTAGCACACATCTCGTCCCCTCAAACAAGACTGTGACGCCTCTCGAGGTGAGATGTGGGACAGACAATAGATGAGTGTGCAACTTAGGAACATGGTGTACCTTTTGCAGCCTTAGCACTTGACCACCTTCACTGACCACAGATACCTCTACCATGCCTTTAGCAGCAACCTCTCTTCCATCGCCCAATCTCACTCCCTTGATCTCAGGTGGGCCCAGCTCACATTTGAAGTCAGTCGCATAGGGGGTGAAGTTATGGCTGGCTCCACTGTCAATCCACCACCCATCTCGCGGTTGCTTCCCTGCCCCTGACCGCTGCCCTTCTGTTGTCACTGCCTCCCCGATTGCTATCTCTGCTGAATCCTCCTGCTTCTCTTCATCCACCACTTGTGCCTTCCTGTTCCACAAGCCACGCTACAGGTGGAGTTCCTTCACCCGCTTGTATACCTCAGCTGCGCATGCAGGACTACGAGTGATAGCCCTCGGCTCCCCGTCGGCAGCAGCGTCGGCAAGCTCGGTTTTGCCGCCAACTTCATGTACCAAGTGAATCAACTCATCCGGTACCAAGGCATTGCAAAGCTGAGCATATGCCTTTTGGTTTTTCCTGTCCCACTTCTTCCGTGCATCGCCCGAGGTTGGTCGCTCCTCCGAACCATCATAAAATCCCCAAATGTCATGTGCTTCCGCCCATTGCTCAAACCGGAAGCTCCAAGTCCAATAATTATTCCCATTGATCTTTGGCGCGCACTCCCATTTCTTAACATCATTCTCCTGCTCCATGCCCGGCGTCACCGTCGGCGGCAATGTCGTCAGCGGCGGCGGCGGTGGGACCGTCGTCCGCGACAATGGTGGCGGCGACAAAGGCAAACTGGCAGTGACGAGGGGGGCGGCGACGGCTGCAACTGTGGTGTTGATGTCGACAGGGGCGATGTCGGCAGAGCCACCCCCTCCTAGATTATGGAGCGTAACTCCAAGCTCCAATCTCCGGATGACAATCTGTCTATGGCTGCTGAATCCTTACTCCAAGGGCTTTACAACAAAGTATTGCACATTTTGTTCCCACGGTTAGTTTTGGCGCTCAAGTGTTCCGAAGTTTGTCGACTTGTTGTCGGCAAGTCGACCAGGTTGTTTGAAGGGAGATTTCATGATGCTGCCGCCGCTGTTCCTCCCAATTTTTTGCTTGTTGGATGCACACTGACGTCCTCTATTGGCGCCTGGGATTTCCCCCCTTTCTCCCGGTCGCGATCTGCGACTATTCGCGTTCTCCCAGATTCTTCCGCATTTCTGTCACCGACTGAATTTCTTGATTTTCGCCTCATCCGCTTATCAGATGGTGACGACCTCAAGGTAAATGTTGTAGATTGTGTTGTGCTCTTTCCAACGATGTGCTAATCGTCTCCAATGCTTGTCGTTGACAGAACACCCTTGAGAGAAGATGCCGCTCTTCTCGTCCTCCCAAGCGGATCAAGATGTCGTCCTGCGTGTTTCTCCTTCCCTTCACCGGTGCCACGTCCAAGGTCCATCACGATGATCTACGGTGCGATTTCGGCAGCCCTTCGGGATCGGTGGAAGCCCGTTTGCTTCCACCAAGGATTGAAACTCTGTTTTGCGCTAGGTCGCTCTTCCCATGGGTCACTAGACTCCCCTCAGCTCTGATACCATGTTAGAATGTTCTAGGAGACGAATGTATCCTTAGAACCTCCTCCTAGAGTTTAGGATGCTTGGGAACCAAGTTGGGCATGTTATATTCTTAGGAGGCATCATCGAATCCAAGAAGTTAGCTTCAACCAAGTCACCACCAGCCCTAAAGGATCTAGGAGTTTACCCTCTAGGAGCATTCCCAACCCATCCAACCAAAGTATGCTACACTACCCACTCTATAATCTAACTTCTATAAGTATGTTTACTAGAGCAGCCTACTCTCAGAAACTTAGGAGTCTAGGTTCCTAAAGTTAGGACACTAGCTTAGCTAGGAATGACGCCATGGGATGGTGGGAGGAAAGTAGATCTAGGAACGTGAGTAGTTAGGAGAAATGTCGAGAAGAAAAGTGTGGTTGAAAAGAAGACAGAGGCATACAAGAAGGGGTGTTGTACCCTCTACAGCAGTATTCAGTAATCGTATACCAAGCCTATGAATTATAACTTAAATAATTTTAACACCTACGTACTCCCATACTTCCAACAGCAAGAACTAGTTGGAATCACAATAAAGGCCGAGAGAGTTGATTGTGGAGTCAGTGTTCGTACTCTAATCGATATTGGTGGTTTGGGTTCCATCCTCTACCGTGTAACCACTTTATTCTTATTTCATCGACAAGCATGTTGCATAAGCATTGCACGATGGGTTTCAAAACTCAATCCAACACGACCTTCTCATCACCATCCATATCTCGCAACAGGGCCATTAAGTTGCGTATTACCGGTAAGTCGTCAATCCCCTCCGTCTCACTTGCTGCTGGTTCACTATGGCAACACATACCCATGCCGCTCACTCTTGATGCCAAGTTACCATGACCAGATGGGGAGGATGATGCCAATGAGGACACATCCCCACAATCTCGCCCAATAGTACCGCATCCAGCAATGTCAGGAGCAGCAGCACCAGCACCAGCAGCTGCACTGCCAGGAGCACCACATGTATCATTACCATCACCATGAGCAGCAGCAACTTTAATTTCTGGTTTGACCCCGTGCTCTGAGGAATGCTCATGATGGGAGTGCTGGGACAGCTTGGGAGGTTGGTGGGTGCAGATAGTGGCAGGCAAATGGACCAAAGGAGCAGCCGGAGGAGGTTGCGAAGCCAACGGCTGGCTGAAGACGCTTGTAGCCGGGATGGAATGGGTCGCAGCACGAAGGGCAGTTGAGCGCGCGGATTCAATAGCGCGAGATATGCACGATGCATGCTGGAAATAGGGTTTGGGGCAGGGTCAGGGCCAGTGCAAGAATAAGACGGGCACAGGGGAGGGTTTAGAGCTGGCTTGGAACAGAAGAATGCAGGAATGCGCTATCGTGTGAAAGCAAGGGTTTAGGGCTGGTAAGGCAGCTGCACTGGTAGCTGGTGGAATAGCGAATGCCTCAAACAGAACCCTGGCAGCATGCATGATGCATGCCTCAAGAATTAGGCTTGTGACACACAGGCACCTGGCAGGCAACATACCTGCTGCAATAGCGGCCGGATGACTGTGAGGTCCTCAGGGGGCGCGCGCGAGGCCATGTGCAACAGAGTTGCTGCGATCTGCCGCACACAAGACGCGACACAGACGCAGGGGCATGACGTGATCAGCCAGCTTCAAGGAGGGTCAGACATACGAACACGTCATCTGTCATAATGCGTGCTGCCTTGCACATGCCTGGAACCAGATGTGATACACTTGGGAGAAGCACGGGAGCACAAGCCAAGCCAACACCGAGCAGCACCTAGGCACACGCCACGAAAGCAAATTAGATACCACTGCACTCTACAATCTGTCGGATGCATGGAGCATGCAACAGCATCAATATGGGTAGTAACTATCCATTACCTCATCCCAACCTCTATCGCTCAACCCATTACCTGATCGATCTGCACCGCTGCTCCACTGCACTCCCATGCTTGCCCATGCAACACAATGCCATACCTGCTACCTGTCCCACAAGCATTGTCCTCCCCCCGAACCGTACATGATCCATCAGCACCGGCTTGCACCGCTGCTCTGCTGCTACCCTAAACCCCCTGCTCGTCCGACTGTGACATCACTGTTCCGTACACTGCCACACCCGTACGCGTGCAACACTACTGCCATTGTGACCGCCACCTAGCCCCACTGGTGTAATCAGCGCGCGCTACCTGCTCCATTCACCCTGGAACCGTACCTGATCCATCAGCACTGGCTTGTACCACTGCTCCACTGCGCTCTGCTGCTCCTCTGATTCATCGAGAGATGCCAGGGACGACACAAGGTCGAGCAGGATAGGAATGTATTCCGAACCATAGTCTGGTGCTCGAGGGAAAGAGGAGAGGGTGCGTGGGTTCGGGGAGGTAGAATGGGTGTTGAGACGGCTCAAACCTAAACTCGTCTCACGCATGGCGTGATGCCAAGGACGACACGAGGGCTACCAGAATGGGAAGTGTATTCCTGGCCATAGCCTGCTCGGGGTCAGCAGGAAAGGCGGGCGGCAGGGAGGGATGAGGGAGCAACAAGGGTGGCACAAGGGCTGGATAGGGGGGAATTCCGGGGGAGGAACGGGGGGGGAGAGGTGGGGAGGAGGAGGGGGCGGAGAGAGGCGGGGTGAGGAGGAGAGACGGGAGGGGGAATAGTTACGTCTCACAAAATAAGGGAGAACGGAGAGGCGAGGAGTGGGGTGTGCAGGGGAGAGGCGAGGAAACGGGGAGAGCGAAATGCGGGTCGCTGTTTTTGACACATTAAAGAGTGGGACTGCAATTTTCCAAGGGTTAGAGAAGACTTTTGTGGCTTCAGCAAAATCAAACAGTGGCGACAGGAAAGACTTTAGGGTCAATAAAAAATATAATGTTTTGTTGCCAAAGGTCGGCTTCAACAAGAGCAGATTGTGTTTAGAGAGAAGACCATAGTGGTTTTTTTAACAAAGAGGGTTGCGATTCGATTGTAGTCACCGCCGCCCAAGCAAAAGCAAGAAAACCTGCGCCAGGTCTCACCTGCCCTGTTCCACGGCTGAATCAGTGCGGCCGCAGCATGTATACGGATCTTGAAATTCGACGAACGGGTGAAGAGACTCTGCAATGTGCGCAGGACGGGAGCAGACCTGTTGCCGTGGGGGAGGGGGTGGATGGTAGAAAGAAACCACTCTTAAATATGGACGAAAAGGTGAAAAGGCTCTGTTATGTGCCTCTGTTCTGTTAAGCTCTGCTCGTTGCCATTGCAATTATGATTGGCTTACTGTGGAGAGGACGGGAGATGCACGGAAGGTTTTTGGAGGAAGAGAGACAATGCTGTGCACACGCTCCATTGCACCTGTGCATGGTAGAGAGGGGGGAGAAAGGAGAGTGACAGCGAGAAGAGTGAAGGGGAGAGAGGGAGAGGAAGAAAGAGAGAGAGAGAGAGAGAGAGAGAGAGAGAGAGAGAGAGAGAGAGAGAGAGAGAGAGAGAGAGAGAGAGAGAGAGAGAGAGAGAGAGACGTGCACACACTCCATTGCACAAGAGTCAGGGTCATGGATGATGGGGGGGGAAAGGGGATAGCGAGGAAGGAGCGAGGGAGGGAGTTAGAGAGTGAAAGAGGGCCATTCGAGAATGGACAAGCAAAAGAGAGGGGGACATGCACACACTCCACTGCATGTGCTCGAGAACGAAAGAAAGAACATGAGTGGAAGGCGGAAAAAACGGTGAGGAAAAAAGTGGAAAAGCCTAGTGTTTCCCCTACTCAACTCCTGCCCCCAGCACACACTCTTGGAATGCCGTTACTCACCTTGGGGTTTGTCTGTACTGCGCATGACAATATGGCCTCCACCGCACGTCCCTGCCACACGCCCCCCTCCTCCCCCCCCCCGTCTGCTGCGCTCCAGCTTCCCGCAATTCTGTGGCGGCAACTCCGTCGCTGCTGTCACTGTTTGCACCGCTTTCGCTGGACAACCTGTTCGAGCCACAGGTTACAATGCCCGTGCCGCTGCTCACGGTAATCCCCGCAGAAGCAGAGCAGCGGCGGCAGAAGCAGGAGGAGCGGGCGAGAGCACCCAGTAGCCGAACTGCGCTGGCTCTGACCTAAGAGGGGTGGGAGAGGGGAGGGGGAGGGGAAGAGAGAAGGGGGGAGTGGCGCAAGAGAACCTAACAGGAAAGCGTTGGTTCTGACCTAAGAGGGGTGGGAGGGGGAGAAAGGTGCACATGAAATGGGGGGGGTGGGGGCCGGAGGAAAAAAAGAGAAAAGTACGATCAAACTTCAATGGGTAGAACCTGGAAATGAAGGGGGAGGGAAGATGTAAGACCGCCACACACGGACACACACACACAGATAAACACATATATGGGAGTGAAGATGATGGAGACGACTATGGGATTGGGGAATTCGTTCTCTACCAGTCATTCCTTGTTATTTGTTATAGTCACAATAGGCTCAGATGTGCCAATAATGAGAGATAGAGAGCACAGTCGGATTTCCGTCAGACGGCTTCAAATATTGATAACGATCTGCTCGCTGACTTAAACGGTTTTCTGTAAATGGTTTCTGCAGGACGTTACTGTCGTCTATCAGCAGCAAGTTGAATCATGAAATTCCATGAAGATTTGACGACGCTATGGCGGTTTGACTGGCAGGAGGTACAGCAGCCACTATAGTCTTAGGCGTACAAAAAACATAGGAAGAAGAATTCGAGAGGGAGATGGTTCCCAGCCTCTACATACCCCAAGAGCCGAGGTCCAGGTTGGTGGTACACCACCACAGAGTCCCCAACCACGAAGAGTCTCGAAACCAACCCTCCAAGGGGCTACACCAAGTGAAATGTAACACTAGACGAAGTAGCGTTACTATTTTCACTATTTTATATTTATCCGCGTCCCTTGGGCTTGAAATCTGGAGCTCTTGGTCTTGGTTCTGCAAGATAAATTCTCCTTGAGTTGATGGGGGCTTGCTGTACACACCTGCGACGCGATGGACACTTCACACTCGACAAAATATAAATAACACATGCGATACGCAAACGACGACTTGACATGCGAGTTGTAAAAACTCGCTAATGTCTTGACCGACACAAACCACATTGTGATACACCATTCAAACACACACACGAGCATTAGATAGCAATGACATAGACTCACAGTTCATTCCATGCCATGCATGCACACACACAAGCAAGGACGACAAGCCGAGTGCAAGCCTTAGGGTTGCACCAACATCATTGTCGCCCGCCCCTCTCACTGCAGCATTGGCTAGGGCTTCAACATCCAATTCACTCCACCAGACATTCAGCTCTTGAGCATGCTTATAAGGAGTATGGGGCACGCCAGTGCACTGCACACCATTACAGTGCACACTACAACAGTGCACACCATTACAGTGCACGCTGCTACAGTGCAATGTGCTACAGTGCATGGGCGGCAGTCGCTCTGAGAGATTGGCCAGGGACCACATTGCAGCTGAGCGGACCTGAGAACGAGAATGGAGGGTGTGGGGGGGGGGGGGGAGGGGAGAAGGGAAAGGAAGAAGGATGGGTGTGATGTGAAGGGGAAAGGGCGCAGGTGGGAATATATAAGAACAGACAGGCGCATGCATGCAGAAAGAGGAAGTTGGAGCACTTAAGCAGACTGCAGCGTGTGACGCGACGCGATGCAAAGCTTCCCACATGAGAAGGTCTCTCGAATGTTCACTCTCTGTTCGGTCAAGGTGCTCACAATGAGAGACGGAGACGAGCAGGCTTGCAGCAGCAACACTCCCCCATGGATGAAAAGATGTACGGTGGAGGAGGAAGAGGAGGAAGAGGAGGAGGGGGAGGATGATGATGATGAGGAGGAGGACATGTTCAAGTCTCGCTCCCATCTAGGAGGCATGAGGTGCAGCAGAATGGTTCCAAAGAGTTTCATGAGAGCGGCTTGCACTGCTGGCACGGACTCGCTTGCTGCAAGGGCGAACTGAGGGGCGAAAGGAATGGCGAGGGGGATCAGAGAGGAAGAAGAAAAAGAAAACGAGTCATACAAGAAAAGAAAAGGAAACTCAAAGGGGATACGGTGCAGCTTCGTCCCCTCCCCAGTTACGTTCTTCTTTACGTCTCGGAAAACGAGCGGTTCCTTGCTGGCATGGTCAACGCATGGCAGAGCAGCAAGGCGCGGACCTCACAGGCAGAGAAAGTGTGTGGGATAGGCATGTGCGGTTTGGAGAGGTGGGCACTAGACATGAGCAAAACCGGGTAATTACCCGACCCGACCCGGTTTTGCCCTACCCGCAATCTGGTCCGGGTCAGGTCGGGTCGGGTAATTTCCGAGTAATGTTTGGAGGTCTGTTACCCGACCCGACATTTTCCTTACCGGATAATTGGATACTCGTCTGGCGGGTCGGGTATACCCGACCCGCATTTAATTGAAGTCGGGTAATATTACCCGGGTACCCCTAGGTGGCTGTAAATTTCAGCAAACCCAGAGTAACAAATCCAAAGTGGGGTCGGGTACCGCGACCCGACGGGTAATAAATTACCCGACATTTCGGGTAATTCTCGGGTAACGGGTATGCATTACCCGGCCCAAGTACCCGACCCGACCCGGTCGGGTAATTCGTCAAAATCCTATTACCCGACCCGGCCAAAATGTCGGGTCAGGTCGGGTACCCGCGACCCGACCAGGTAAAATGCTCAAGTCTAGTGGGCACGTGGCAGCTTACCATTGGCTGGAAGATGACGTCATGCATGTGGGACAGGTACTGCAGGGTGGGTGCTGGCATGTGCAAGAAGCACGTGAGCACTGCTATGCGCACCTGAGAGGAGGGGAGGGAGGGGGGGAAGGATTTAGGGGGGATAAATGGAGGGGAGGAATGGAGGGGAAGGAATGGTGAGTATGAAAGATGATTGAGGAAGGCAGGGGTGGGTGGTGGGATGTGCAGGGAGCATGTGAGCACTGCTATGCCGACCTGGAGAGAGGCAGCAGAGCATGACGGTGGAGAGGGAGAAGAGAGGTGACTAGGAAACATAGTAGAAAAAGGTAGAGGAGGGTGGGTGGGGGGATGTGCACGAAGCATGTGAGCGATGCTATGCTATGCGGACGTGACAGGAGGGGCGAAGGGAGTCGGGGGGAAGGGGCTGAGGAGAAGAGAAATGGCGAATAGGAATGGCTCTACAAAACGGTACTACAGGAATGGCAAACCGTACCCGGACCCAGTGCTATGCTGCCACCTCCTTGAAGGCTTAACTCCTGCCTTCGACACCCATAAGATTGCCTACATGCAGCTGATTGACAAGCGCATCACCCCGGCTGAAGTCGCCCAGTGGATTATCACCACCGAGGCCGACCTCTTGCGCCATTCCTCCTCAACTACCGCTGTTGCTCAGCAGCGCAACACCAGGGGAGGACATGGGGGTGGGCGTGGCGCTGGTCGTGGTGGTGGTGCGGGTCGTGGTGGCAATGGCGCAGGACATGGTGCAGCAGCCGCCTTTCCTCCTTGTCAGTATCTCCCTCGCTATGGCCCCACGCGGGGTCAGCGCTGCGGCCAGACCACTCATGCCACTGATTCTTGCTTCAAAGCGCTCAGTGATGAGTGGTTTGCCCGCGGCAACACCGGCACCCCCCCCCGCTGGTCCTCCCTCTCCCCTCGCCCCACTCCTCAAGAGGTTCATACCTCCCCTCTTTTCCAGCCCGTCTCCTCCCCCTTGGCCCACCAGGCCGTTTCTCAGCAACAGGAGCAGCAGCAGACTCCGCAGCAGATCCTACCGCAGCCGTTTCAGCAGCAGCAGCAGCAGTTCTAGCAGCAGCATCAGCAGCAGCAGTTCTAGCAGCAGCATCAGCAGCAGCAGGGGCAGCAGCACCTCTTCTCCCAATTGCAGCAGCAGCTCCAGCATCTCCAGCAGCAGCTTGACCTCCAGTTGCAGCTCCCCCTTGCACCTCCTCCTATGGCTCCCCCCCAGCAGCCCTACCCCGCTTGGACCGCCGGCACCGCCGCTTCCGCAGCTCACCTCTCGGGCGCGTCTCCCGCGCCCTCAGCCACAGGCAGTGTGACTCCTTTCCCCTCCTCTGGTTTTGTTGGCATGGTTAGTCAGGCTGGAACCCCCGCCCCTTCTATGTATTCGGCTGCTATTAATGAGAATGTGATTCAGTACTCCGTCCCACCTCCTC